GGGCGGAAGAAGATCCAATGGCCCATAAATCCTCACTTTACTCACCATCTCTTCTGGTAAAAACTTATTTTTTGTTGTCTGCATGTAGTATTTCTGGTTGACTGCAGACTCTGTTACGTTTATTAGTACTAATTGTTAGTTAAAGTAGGCACGGATTCTTTTTTCATGGTGTTTTAATTGTAGTTAGATATATTCAGTAAGGATTTATTACTCGTCTGCTTACTTTATCATGTGCAATTAAATTGGTTTTAGTTTCATAGAAAGGTCAAGTACAAGTACTGGATTAAGTTGCTTATTTCAGGAGACTTAATATTTTAAATTTGAAGGAATTTGGTGAGTGATGACTAGCAGTCGAATCCAAAAAGATGCGCACTTCGTCCTCTTTGGAACTCATCAACCAGATCAACTTGCATTCATCAGTGAGTGGTGATGTTCCCGCTGACACTCACTCAGACGCAGTATCCATTGTTTTAAACGCCGAAGCGTTATCCACTAGGCCACTTGACGTGACTCTCGTGGTCCAGGTGGTCTAGGGATAACGCTTCAACATTTGAAAGGATGGATACTGCGTTTGAGTGAGTCTCAGGGGGAACACCACCACTCACTAATGAATGCAAGTTGATCTGGTTGATTAGTCTCAAAGAGGACGAAACGACCAACCTGGTGGATTCCATTGCTAGCCACCATCCACCAAATCACTTCATGTTGAATCCTCAGACATCGTTGGAGGATCCTCACAAGGTAGTCGACAAGTCACAACCTGAGGCCGAACACTTCGGTCGAATAAATCAACAGGCGAAAGTCCTAATTGAATTAGATTAATATTTTGGGTGTTTCATCTTAGTTTAAGACTCCTATCTTAGGTCGAACCGAGAATCTTTAGATCATGGGGCTGAAATTGTGGTGTTATTCAGTCAATGACCCCCCTGAAAACTCTAATTTCTGTTAATTTATCACATTTCCTTACTGCTACTTCAATGAACATTACTCATATGTTACACAGTGAATTTCTTGAAGTTCTAGTGACCAATGATTTCTGCGAATTCGATTGGGAAACAGTTATTCACCGTGTGTCGTTGGATAGTTATAGGAGCTAGTTGTCTTCATTGACCCCTTGGGTTCCAACTCTCAGTAACCGATATGTAATTTCCTAACGTTGTAATGTGAAGGTTGGAATTTTGTTTCCTCTTGAATTCGTAGGTGAGCACTACTAAAGTGTCTTGAACTATTGTCCAGTGTTCCTTTGCTTTCAATAGTCTTCGAACCGATATCGATTTGTGACGAAGTCTACATGAATTGTTTTCTCACGCATTATAATTAATGAATATCATCTTATACTACTGAAATGTTTTAATAAGTAGCTTAACTGAAAATACGAAAGCTTGGTACTCGCGTCGTCTTTTTGTCATTGAATTTTGACAGGCTCATAAAGTTTCGAAGATGTAAAAATCACTGAATAATGTTCATTATTTAAATTAGATACTAAAATAACATTTCAGTAAAATCAATCAATTTATCCTTTAGTTGCCAAGGGGGCTTGAATTTTTCAAAGGTTTTTTCAGGGAATCATGGTGTGATAAGTATGAAAGTGCAGAAATTACATCAAACATTGGTGTGTATGAGTATGCCGGTTAACTGGGAGCATATAAAAAACGGAACCAAATTCATGATGTAAATATGTTACTGCTTGAAACCAATAAGATTTAAAACTATACACAATTGACTGACGGAGTTTCAAGCATGGGACTTTGTACAGAAGTACAGCAGTCTAAGTTTACCACACTCCCTATAGCCTACAAAAGTACATAAAAAGGTAGCTTGTGCTCTGGGGAGTGGTATATCAACGGCGTTATGTGATTATTATGTCCTATCCACCCTTTATGTCCAACTTTAACCTCGTACCTAAGAATCCCATGCCGGCATTCTGTCATATCTTCGGCCTAGACGTAATCCCCCTTGTGGAAATAACCCATACAGTCTTTTTTGTTGTTGTTGCGATGCTGATAGGAACATCGCGTGGTGGTGGTGGTGGTGTTAATGAGTTCGTGGTATTCATCCCACCAAAAGTTCTGCATGGCTTTTATTCTGTTCTTTCCATGGTGTGGTGTGGTGTGGTGTGATGCGATATAAAAGAAAGGAAGTTCTGTATGGTTTCCGGTTTAACCCCTTCTTCTTTCTTCAGTAAAGCTCTTTTGAAAGTGTCCACAAATCTTTCTAGTCCCAAGATGTAAGATGACTTCAGCATGGATGTACTGCTGTTGAATATTATATAGCGATATCTAACCTTCCAAATAGATTTGATAAAATGTGGAGAAGAAGACGAAGATAGAATTGAACATTTTTTGTCTAAAGTGCGTCTGTTGCACGGCGGTTAAGACGCTCACAAACCATGCACATGGTCTGGGGTTCGATCCCGGCCGACAAGACACTCCTTTACCTCGCTAAGACAGTAATAAAAAAGCTGGTAAAGAGAAAAAGTTGGGCATGAGACTAGAGAAACTTCAAGCTTCTAACTTGAAACCCTGTGTTCCACTGGGAACGTGAAGGATTGAACATGAACCTTATCTAAAATAAAATCTTTCTTTCTTTCATGGACGAGAGTGCTAACAAAAGTGATGAGTTGTCATAATCATAGTTGGTAATATTAGTCAATGCATGTATGGATAACTCCTCCTTCTCTAACTGAATGTGTAAAGCTTCAGCAATACGGTGAGAAGATGAAAGCGTATTGTCTTTGGCAGGTTGTTCTTCACTTTATGTATATTAATTCGAAAAATTAAACTATGCGGTCCCAAGGGATGATACAAACTCACGAGTGACCTTGAGTCGACCAACCATAAAAACAAGTGATTTTTGCACAGAAAAAACTGACGTTTTTTTTTTTACAAAAAATGCATGAAAACACACATTAAACAGAGTATCGACAAATCTATTGATTTATCGATTGTTTTTTAACTGTTTTAATTGAATTTTTTAAAAAGAGAGGAAGTAAGTCCTTTCAAATTAGCTACCCCCACTCTTACCGCCCCAACAACAACACATACGATGAAAAGCTTTCCTAAAGATAGATCACAGAACTCTGTTCTCTTAAGATTTATCTAATTGCTTTCAAAACAAGTTTAAAAAAAAATAAGGTGTTCATCTTTTGCTGTTGCGATTTCAGTAGGTGTAATAAGATTTTTGATTTGTGGCGTGATGCTGATTTGTTAGGAAGTGGCCAAAAAAAACAACAACTGAAATTAACATCTTAAATCAATGGCCGCAACAGAGGTTTTCTTTGTCCTTCACATTCTCCAGTGGAACATAGGGCTTCAAACTAGTGGCTTGAAGTTTCTGTAGCAGTTGTGATTATTTTTACAGGATGGAGTTGCTAGCCTCATGCCCAATCTTTCCTCTTTACCAGGATTATTTCTGGCTTAGCGAGGTAAAGGAGTGCGTTGTCGGCCGGGGATCGAACTCCGGACTATGTGCATGCTTGGCGAGTGTCCTAACCGCTATGCCACCGACGCAGCAGAGGTAGAAGTGTTTATTTCAAAAAGACGGTTACAGCGAAGAAAATTTTCTTTTCAACGAAGTCATTAAGTAGGTTGTACATTCGTGTAGGTGGTAGTACTATTTTAGAAAGATTTAGGGTTAAAGGTCAAATTAATAAAGTTACACAGTATAATAAAGACATGATAAGATCATAAATAATTACTGAAAAACTTGACTGTTTGTACAAATTGCGTATTAAGGGCGTAAATAGTAACAACATAAGTAGGAAGTTCGGACGTATTTCTTTTGAACACATGGCGTGGTCTTGAACTTTTGGACCTCCAGTGCCTCAGCTATTTTTCAGATCCTTTGATTTCACTCCCTTCGATAGGTTTGATTAGATCTTGTATATGACTTTGAAAGACTTTTCAAATGGTACTGAATGGTCCTGAACTCACCAGATGTTCTGTTAGCGAACTGTATTCACTCATGCATTCCCTTCTTTGCTAACCATTCTAGATAGTGTCCCCGAGCATGGTTTACTAGCGGACGCATGGTACGGACAATGTACTCGGCTCCACACGTGCACGTGAACTTGTGTATGCATAATGAAGTGGCCTAATACGATAGCTTGTCTTTCACATGCTGGTTGAATAAATAGTTTCTTGCAGGAAAATGCTACTCGTACGGTGGCGGCGGCAAAGTATGTTTTACTGCGAGACTTCGAAAGTCGTCTACGGAGAGGAGTTCTGCTTCGGTATCACTGAAAAATTTGAGGTTAATTATCAGCATCCTTTTTTTGTAGGGGGGGGGGTGATGAGACTTGGACCTTTTCAGGTTTCTTTTTTGGTTTTAGATTGTTGTCTATGAATCTGGGTGGGAAACCTTTTTGCTATCAAGGTACCTTGGAGATTACGCAATTCTTCGTCAATCGACTCCTCAGTGCAAATTTCCCGGTTCCTCGAGGAAGGAGAGTATATTAGGTTTCCGTTTATTCTTACTCAGAGGCACACAACTATGAAAGAAGCTCCGTACGTCTTCTTCTTTTCAGAAAGAAGCAGGCCATGGTGTCTTCATTATCCGAAGGTGGTGACATTATACGAAACGGTATAAGATAAGAAAATTGATAGATGAGTTTTATTCAGGAAAAACACATTCTTAGCCACACTGGAGTTCGTCTAGGTCAGTGGACAATGAATATTGTTCTGATTGGTTGACTATTGGCTGAAGGTCAAATAGGGCTGTCCAATGAGGTTATTTCATGTCTATACAAGGTGAACTAAATGTCAGATTTAAGGAATAATAAACGCTTCTCCCTCTGCTGTAGTGTATGTAGCCTTGTGACTTAGATTATCGATTTCAATGTCAGCCTTGCATCATGCCACAATTTCATATAATACTAAATTACATAATGCCAACAGGATGATTTTAAGACGTCTTATGCTTTTGATTTATTAATTCTTGCAAATGACTTCCTAAACTTATCAGGGAAAAACTTACCTTTAAGTGTAATTTTTTTGATTTAGATTCTTTTGCCCACCTCCGAGTATATATCTTCGTGGAGAAGGCTGGGGATTGCCTGTGGGTGGAGGTGGTGGTGTTGGTGGACAAACTTCTCGTAACGAAACAAAACTAGGCCATAATCATGAACATATAATGAGTCAAACAGATTTAATGAGCTACTCAACCCGAAATAATAATAGTGGTAGAACCTATCCTCTTGAAAATAATACTTCAACAAGTCCAACAACAATTACTCCAATTCCAGGACCTTCAACATCATCAACATCGTCGTCTTATTCACGAGAAAATTCTCAGGTAAGTGGATATATGTTCATTTGTTTTTTTTTCACTATTTTTATATATGTGAATCACCGAGAATACGCATTGAGTCATGAAGTAAATAAAAGACCAATTCAGCGAAGAACCCTGAAGGGGTCCTGGGTTCGAGTCCTGGCGGTAGGTGCGTGCTGCTCAAGAGTCCCAAAGTAGGAAGGAGGAAACAGCTCCCCAGTACTCCCAGGTGGTGGTTTTCCAATGGTTCTCTAACCAATGTCAGCTCATGATGAAATCCTGTAACCAATCAATCAAATCCCTACAAACCAATACTTGAAGAAAATTTTCTTTATCGATGGAATCATCTTCACAGACTGTACTGTACAGTCGTATTTATACTTAGCAAGGATATATAGTGGTCTATTATTGAGTAATAGGGGGATGGGGTGACATAATTGATATAATTACTCGGAAGTGGCTTTAGAATTAAAAAAAAAGAAGTTGTAAATCACGTGGTACTCCTCACTGGCACAAAGATAGAAATGGTTAGACATTTGACAAGGTTAAAATTGCTATTCAGTGAGAGTAAAGGTAATTGAGTGTCAATTTAACAAGTGTAAAGAGGATGTGAAAATGTACAAAAAGAACATATGAGAGTGATAACAGTGAATTAATTATTAAAGTAAAAGCAAACTAAAAGTAAGATTGAAAATTGAAAAATAAAAAATTGTTTTACAGGGAACGACTAGTGAAAGAGGTGTTAAGACCAAGGTAGAATAATAGACTGGACAAACGTTTTCTGTATACAGAGTTCGGGGTTGTATTGACGAATAGTTCGCGCCTCTGTCAGACATAAAAGCCAAAAACCTGACGCCCTTTGTACCATTTAGCCTCACCTTGTAGAGAGCGAGCTTGTAGATCATTTAGCCACTGGGACCCGATCTAATGGCCAGTCCATGAACTCGCCTTGTAACCAAGAAGGTCCTGGGTTCAAAATCCCTACAAAGCCAATACTTGTAAATACTTTAACTTGTCCTGACAAAAATATTTTTTTTTCCATGATGTTTCTACGTGAATTCTTCTTCATCTTCTTCTTCTGTCTTTTCAGCTCCTTGCCTTCATGGGTATCGGTGGGTCAACTACTCCAATGGAAATGGTTCAAATGAATTTAGATGATGGACGGGATTATTCTAATGCTAAAACATTATTCATCTCGGATTCAGATAAACGTAAATACTTTATGCTTACATTGAAAATGTTTTATAAAAACGGGAAAGATTTAGGCCAATTTCATTCAAGGCGTATTAAAGTGATATCGAAACCAAGTAAAAAGAAACAGTCGTTGAAGAATACCGATTGTAAGTGTCGTGTTTTCCTTTCTTTTTTTTTGGGGGGTGGAGGTGGGTGGATGGGTGGGTCGGTTCTGTTTGAATTTTGCCATGTATTGTTGAAACCTTGTTTCCAGTTTGGGGGAAGCCTTTCAGATTAGTTTATAAACTGTCAATATTTTAACCACTGAAAACCATCAACTGGGAGTACTGGACAACTGTTCCATCCTGGTTTGGGGAGACTATTATTCAGCAGTACGCAACCTCCAAGGTTCGAACCCATGAACACTTCTGGATACCAGGTCAGCTAGCTCGTAGACCATTCAGCCACTGGGACTCTGACTTATCAATAGCCACCCCATGAATTATAACTTCTACCAATTCGTGATTTTAGTGCAACCACTGTCCCGACTGGACAGATCCTACTGATCGTTGACCACAATACGGGAGTTAGAAAACACAAATAAACCTAAATCAAGTCAGTAAAAATCAATTGGGCTTTCATCACTATGATAGGAGAATTGGTTGAATAATTCTCTTTTGTATGCATATCTTCGCTTTCTCTACCTGAATGTCTAAAGCTTCAGTAATGCAGTGAGGACACGGGCACGTATTGTCTTTGTCAGGTTGTTCTTCACTATGTGTAGATTACTTTGAAGGAGAAGGAGGGGGGGGGGAAGAGGCGTTTGTTGAGATGGAATGACTAGTGTGTTGACAAACTGTGTGCTCGATTATCACAATCCTTACAGGAGAACCACTACTACTTCTTCTGTAACGACAGAAGACAAGGGCCAGACAACAGGATCGTTTATTGAGAAAACCAACAGATGTTTATATATTTTTATGTACATTATTATTAGTGTTATTGTTAGCAGAGAAGCAACGTCTTCTGATTGGTTGTTTTCTTGCTGAGGGTTACTCTGTACTGCTTGCGGCTATTTCTTAGAACGTTAAGCATATGTCTACGAATCGTATTTGGAAAACAGAAAGATTGAGCGAAGAAATATTTACTTTTCAATTAGATCCTCATCCCACTCTGGCTCTACTCTAATATATGTTCATAGGATTTTTATTACAATACACAACAGTTTACCAATCAAGTGGCACTGGCATGTTTGTTAACAATAATTAGTCAGTGTCAAAATGTCAGCGATGGGGTGATAATTAACCAAGAAAATTAATATACACAATTAAAAGGTGGAAATGGTTAAAAAAAGTGGATTGCATAATGCATTATTTTGGAAAAATGAAGAGTAACTAAGGAATAAGCGTGTGGACAGGTTGGTTACGTAACAGACTGTTAAGGAAAATAAGGCGATAATGAAAATTTGTAACTAAGGTTAGAGGGGTCATAAGAATAAAATAATTTGGACAATTATAATTTTTATAATTTTTAAAAGTTAAGGGGAAGTGGGGTGAAGTAGTCCAGTTTATACAATCATGTAACATCATCCAGCATGGTTAAGCAAGGGACAAACAAGATCTATTCTACGTTCGAGAAATAAGGATAAACTACCTAAATTTGCCTCTTCTATGTGTATCTACCAGTTTGGCAGGTTCATCATTGAATTTCCGAACATCATCCAACATGGTTAAACAAGGGACAAACAAGATCTATTCGTAGCTCTATTTTAGCACACCTTGTAGATAGTGAGCATAAGGTTGACATTAATACTGCATTTAAAACTGTTTATCACATTCTACTAATCTTAATTTTGCTTTACGAGTTCGTCTTCTACAGACAGCTGAAGCAATAGGAATCCACCTGTGGTAGAAGCCAAACCTCTGTGTGTTCAGAAGAGATTTGTACAACCACTTTCCTTACCTTGACCATCGGTACACGATTGTATAAACCGGACTACTTCATTCCCCTCCCCTAAACTTTTAAAATTCTGAAAATTATAGTTGTCCAAATTATTTTAATCTTATGACCACTTCAACTTCAGTTGCAAATTATCATTGTCCAATTCGCTTTATTTTCTTTAACAATCTGTTACATAATCAACCTGTCCACACGCTTATTCCTTAGTTACTCTTCATTTTTTCCAAAAATTATGCATTATGCAATCCACTTGTTGTAACCATTTCCACCTTTTAATTGTGTATATAATTTTCTTCGTTAATTATCACCCCACTGCTTGACATTTTGACACTGACTGACTAATTATTGTTAACAAACATATCAGTGCCACTTGATTGGTAAATTGTGGTGAATTGTAATAAAAATGCTATATGTGTATATTAGAGTAGAGCCAGAGTGGGATGAGGATCTAATTGAAAAGTAAATATTTCTTCGCTCAATCTTTCTGTTTTCTAAATTTATCGTATTTGCACACATCAGGTCTGCTGTGATTGGTTGATGAGTTCCTCAAGGTTAAGCTTTGTTATGGTTTTTTTTTCTCACGCCCCGATTCGAGCCGTAAACATTGACGTCAATTGTTGTCTACAATTTTGGTTTGCAACCAGCTCTTACCACACTACTACTACTACCTTTAAATAACCATACGAGACAGTTCATCTTGAACCTCCTTGATGAATAAATTTCACTCTATTGTGTTACACTCCCTGCTGGATAGAAACTTTTTAAGGGCTAGTCTTATTGAATTTCATTTTTTTAAAAAGTTTTTAAACTTGCATTGTTTTCTCTTGTCTTTTTTTATTGTTATTTAAGTGTGTATTGCATCTGGTACAAAGATTGCCTTATTCAATCGGCTACGTTCACAGACAGTTAGTACAAGATATTTACACGTGGAAGATGCAAGTTTTCATGCAAGTTCAAGTCGTTGGGGTGCATTTACTATCAATTTATTGGCTGATGATCAAGATGAAGCTGAACAATTCACTGTACAAGATGGTTATATACATTATGGTCATACAGTGAAATTAGTCTGTTCTGAAACTGGTATGGCATTACCACGTTTGGTAAGTTAATAAAGTGTGTGTCTATACTTCAGGTGGACTGGTTAATTACAGTTATATACTAATTCTGTATGGAGGATTTCATCACCTACAAAACCAATACTTGAAAATATACTAAGTCTTCTATATTACCAGTATCATGTTGGGTTCGACCCCCCCTCTCCTTCTGTAAGTAGTAGTCTCAAACTAAGGCGGACGAAACAGCCCTCAGTACACATTCCCAATTGGTTTTCCTTTGGTTCTCCCTAACTGATATCCATACGTGGTCATCCTTGACTCCTTTGTATGTAGTATTAATGATGGATGATACAATTACCACATATAACGGATTATCTTATATTCTACCTCGACATCTGTCGCCCGAAATAAACACCATTCAAAAGATTTGACAGTTTCTCATCACCCTTCGTCAGTTTTTGGAACACCGTCACACATATTACAGACCAACAATCATTGTGTTTTTTTGGTATTAAGGCCGCCTTCGATCAACACGTATTTTTATAAATTTCACATACATTATTATAGCTTGGTCAAGTAGACAAACACAGTCTTCTGATTGGTTGTTTTCGAGTTCCTCGGAAAGTGGAGCCATCTATCTGCGAATCATATTCGCCCACGTTTAAGTTTGCTGTGATTGGTTGTTGAAACGGCTTGTTCATATTTTCTCACGGCCCATATTAATGACCTAGACATTGACGTAGATTAATGTCAACCAATTGGCTAGCAGGCTGCTCTCACCGTATATATATATATATATATATATATATGTATATGGTTTTTAAGAAAGGTGTGTGAATACATGAAATAATAATAATAATATGAAATGCAACTAAAATATTTGTGATTATAATCATAGTTTGTCAAGTGGCAAAACAATCAATGTCATATATAGAATAATGCTTAAAGTGTATTAATGTTGGAAAGGAGTGCCTAATTATAGGATTAGTAGGCGAATATAAAATGTTACATAACATGGTGTGAAATTCGATGAGATAGAATTCAACATTGCAAAATACATTATGATTTTGGATTTTTAGAATGAAAAAGTGAGACAAACGGAAACAATTCAGAGTGAGAATAGTAATAATAATAATAATAATAATCGTACTAATAAGGGAAAGGTACATAGAATAACTAAATAAACAAAATAAATAAATGTCTATCCCTCTATGGCCAAGGCAGAAGTAGGGATTGTACATATTTCTCTTGTACACAAAGGTCTGGCTTAAAGTCATGAATTACCAAGACTTCAGCTGTCTGTAGAAGTCTGTAACGAAGAAAACGCGGGAAGTTATCATGGATTCGATAGATGATCTTAAAATCATGGTCAGTGTTGGTAGAGTGACAGGAGCCGCTCAGATGTTCTAGAATAGAGCTTCGCATACACTTCCTTTCTCCCTTCTAAAACTATTCTCGAATGTGGTCTCGTATCCGTGTGGAAAGCGTTCACTGACTTTGGCCAATGTACCTTGCTCCACAAGAGTACGTGAACTGACAGATGCATATGGAGGCGGCCAGACGGGGGAGCTTATCTTTTACAGAGGTAGAGAACAACTGGCGACTGGTGAACGTCGTCGTATGTAATTTTGCTGCAAAGTATGTACAATCCCTACTTCAGCCTTGGCCGTAGAGGGATAGACATTTATTTATTTATGTATTTTGTTTACTTAGTTAATCTGTGTACCTTTCCCTTATTACTACGTTTATTATTATTGTTCTCACTCTGAATAGTCTCCACTTGTCCCATTTGTCACTCTTAATCCGAAAACGTTTTTACTATACTGAATTCTATCTTATGAAATTTCACACCATGTTATGTAACATTTTACATTCGCCTACCAATCCAATAATTATGTATACCTTTTCAAAATCTATACACCTTATGTATTATTCTATACATATGACATTAATTGTTTTGCTACTTGACAACTAACTATGCTTATAATCACAAATACTTTCTTAAATAATCCAGGAAGCGTACGGTGAGGAGCAAGAGAGAAGGCTTAGATAGAATACAGGAATCATTAAACTTAGAAAGTAGAGACTAACTGAGTGATACCAGATTGTCATAACTTCCTTACATAGACAATTATAAACGAAATATCTTTCTAGGAACTAACATGATTTGGGAAAACTAGGAAAGATCAGAAGAAAGACATACTCCTGAGGTATTTCACATTCAATTTAGTATTAACTGTGGCATCTATGATATAGTAGAACTATACTGCGAACTAAACCAATTCATGTAAGTTAGTCGTGCTTGTATCGAAAAGTGAAATTAACCACCTGACATTTGAGAGGGATTTACCTTAAGACGACCATTTAACGCAAGGACCACCGACTAATTTCTGATAAAATTTCATTCATTTTGCAACAATTTGACTGAGAAGTAGTAACCGACATGAAGGTAGTCGGTCAGATCAGGGAAGTCATCTAAGAGAAGCAAGAAGAAATAAAAGGAGAAAGAACACCACTTCGAGGAACATCAGCTAGACTGATTAAAGCAGTGGAGGAGGAGGACTTTCTATCTGTAAACAGTGTACTGCTTCCTATCAGAAAAGTAAGAATACAACTCATCGAAGAAGACATTGAGAAATGGTTGCACTATGTGGTGAATTGACCAGAAGTTAGAATTCATGGGTTAGCTATTGGATCGGGTCCCGGTGGCTCAATGGTCTACGAGTTCGCCTTGTAACCAGAAGGTCTTGGGTTCGAACCATAGTGGTGGGTGCGTACTGCTGAAGAGTTCCAAACTAGGACAGAGGAAACAGCTGTCCAGTACTCTCTGCAGGTTTTCCAGTGGTTCGCTAACTGATGTCAGTTCATGATGAAATCCTCCATGTAATCAAAGAATACAACCACTTACATCATTCAAACACCCTTTTTATACCACAGCAAGCTTGTTGAATTAACAAAAGAGAGATAGAGAGAGAGGCGATAAAAGAAGAAGAGTGGAGGAGAGTTTTATGCATAATTATACGCGCGATGCAAAATTTCATTAGCCCTCAGTGATTTAAGTAGACTGCACAAAAATGCCTTTTATGTGTTTTGTTTTGTTTAAATGATGTCCATGATTTTTGATGACTCATGAAGAGCCTGGTTATATTACCAAATAGGGAAACCTACTTCACAAGCTATAATCAACATGCTATTTAATTGAATTTTATTAGATTTTCCCGTCAGTTGATTGGACCGAAGTGCTCACTCTCAGGTTGACATGTCTGTCGGCTTCTAGTCCAGATGCTTCGACGATATCTGGGCATTTAATTAGAAGTTAATTGGTGGATGGTGGATGACTAGCAATGGAATCCACCAGGATAACGTGCATTTCATCCTATTTGGGACTCGTCCGCCAGCTGGATGTACCTGCATTCCCTAGTGAGTGAGTGAGTGATGATGTTTCCACCCCAAGTGGGTCTTAGTGGATAACGCTTTGACTGATTTTTGAAACTATGGACACTGGGTTCAAGCCTCAGTGGTGGGAACATCGTCACTCACTGACTAGGGAATGCAGGTACATCCAGCTAGTTGACGAGTCCCAAATAGGACGAAATGCACGTTATCCTGGTGGATTCCACTGCTAGTCATCCATCATCCATCAATTAATAAATCCCATTTATCAACATGTATTGTTTTTCAAATTATGTTCATTTTTCACTTTCATGTTTTGTCTGATGAACAGATTGTACGCAAAGTGGATAAGACGACTGTCCTGCTAGACGCTGATGATCCAGTTAGTCAACTACACAAATGTGCATTTTATCTAAAAGATACAGATCGTATGTATTTATGTCTTTCACAAGATAAAATTGTCCAACTGCCATCAACACCATGTGATGAAAATCCACTTAGAGAAAAGATAAATGATGCTGCCGCTTGGACAATTATTAGTACAGATAAAGCAGAATATCGTTGGTTTGAACCAGCTCATTTACCAAATACCTATAAAACAATCGATGGACAGATTAAATCAATTACACCACCACCGTCTAGTTCATCTATTATCCCGATAACACCTGTACCTGTTGTACGTGATATGCGAGTAAATGGTGGCGGTGATGTTGCTATGCTTGAGTTAATTGGTGAAAATTTCAGTCCTAGACATCAAGTATGGTTTGGTGATGTACCAGCGCAAACATTTTATCGATGTGAAGAATTATTGTTGTGTTTTGTACCAGATATATCGGAGTTTCATAGAGATTGGACATTTATACAAAAAACTTTAGAGGTGAGTGAAAGAATTATATATTATTGTTATTATTCCGTTGGGTTCAGAGTGTGGAACATATAGAAGGCTTTAACAACATATCTCCACCTTGTCATATTCTCTGCGGTCCCCTTGAGAGATTATCTGGCCCCACAATTACCCATAGTCTCTCATCATCATGTGTCATCCTCGGATCAGCCTCCATCTAGTAGTTTCCGATCTGGGTTCCACTCGAACGTTGTCAGTTGACTATTTCCACAGTGGTGTGTGTCCGATTCATTTTCATTTTCTTCACGATATCTGTTAGGCGATATGCTTTTCGTTGGTTGGTTGTTTCGTTCCTTCAACCAACAACAAGAGCAGCAACATCCAGCGCCAATCACCATCAACGGGAGGGATTTGAAAGAGGTTACTTCATCCACTCACTTATCTAGGGAGCATTGTCTCCACTACAGGAGGAACGGACGAGGATGTCAAATCGAGTGACAATCGGGAAGGCGAGCGAGAAACACATTCATCAACCAACTGAAACCAATCTGGAAAACCAATCATCGTCACTCAGAATCAACAACAAAATTCGGTCGGATTTTCAATACAAACACGTCAAGTCAGTCAGTCAGTTCTTCTATACGGATGAGAAACTTGGCGGGCGGGTCACAAAGAACATTTCCACCAGCAGCCTGTTATAGACCAGACCTTTATCAACAACAACTGTACTCGGTGGCTCTATACTGAAGATCAGATCAGATGGTCGGGCCGGAAAGAATCACCAACAAAAACTATGGCTGGGAAGAAACAAACGAAACAAGAACCAATCAATCGCCAACCAACAAATATGTAGGAGAAAGGGGGAGATAGATTGCATACTCGCGGCTGAGGAGGCCGCCACTGGGTGACATCGCGTGCGCGTCAGGCCATTGGTCGAGTAGAACCAGGCCGAAAGGGAAGCGGCGAGTGGGTCGTCAGTGCAAGGGTGAGTGACATGGAGGAGATGGTGTGAAGAGGAGTTGAAAGAGTATGGACTAACATGCATGGATGGAGGTGAAAAGTACAGCAGAAGGAAGACAGAAGTGGCAAGTGGAGACGTGCAGTTGAAGCCCTATATGTTCCACTAGGAACCCAAGGAAACAACAATAAAAAGTGTTTTGTCTACAATTCTTATTGACTGGCCATCTAGTCTTTATTATTATTAATCCGAATTTAAAAATCTCAGCTTATATATAACAACTTAATCATCGTTCCTCAGCATGGGGTCATTTTCGCGTTGTTGTCAAGTTGGCCAATTGATAAAGACAACAAAACCAGGTGTAGATTTTGGATTTGATAAGTATGTAAAATTATAAAAGCAGCGCGTTTTTGCATAATGAAGTTACTTATCACATTCCTGTCGATTTTACCACTTCATGGGAGACGGCATGGCGTGCTGTAACCAGGTCAAATTCTGTTTTAGTCCATCATTCAGATTATTCAGACAATTTTGGATTCCATTTGACATGAAGTCCTTCTGATGATATGAGATGTTCTTTGAGATTTTGAAATGCTTTTTCTGGATGATGATTTCAATATTGTCAAAATCAATTTTGTGGCCTGATTCTATAGCGTGTAGATGAGCTATGGCTGATGACTTTTCAAGCTTTTCTAGTTCACTAACTGGATTCCTCGGTGGTAGAACTGATGCTGTGCTCTACGATGTTCATTTCTTCTGATTTCGATTCCTCTCTGGAGATATTTGTCCAATGTATATCGCATCACATTCCAAGCAGGTATTTTATTTCATAGACACGTTTAGATAGAGAATCTTTAGAGATTTGGTCTCTTATGTGGATAAGGTTGCTTCACAGTGTGCCTGTCTGATGTTTTGAAGATAATTCTGATGTCGAGCTTATTGAGTACTCTTCTGATATATCGTCTGACGTTTCTGATGGTCTGTATGGAATGACAACTGTTGAAGTCCATGTTTTCGGAACAGGTTTTTGACCATACTTAATATCGGTGTTGATTTTGTTGATGAAGTTCTTTGGATGGTTATTTTTCTTGAGAGTCTCAGTAATGTTTGACATTTCTTCTTTTAATTTTACACACTTATCAAATCAAACAATTGACCAATTTGACAATGTAAAAATGACCCCATGCTGAGGAACGATGATTAAGTTGTTGTGTGATATAAGCTGAGGGGATTTGTTAAATTCTGGTTTAATAATACTTAGAAACGAGGTCAGGATGAAATTTTCACATCATTTTTTAACTGATTAATTAATTATCACAGCTTTTGTCCAATCGGCTACACAAAAAGAGCTTGCTCAAAATGCTTTTTACTAGAGCAGTTAGGAACTGACAACTGTTGAAAAGAACCTTAAGGAGAACAGATATCTGATTAAAATGCCCATTAAAATTTTCAAAAGAATGGATACTGAACAAAGAGTGCTCTTTTCGATAACCCCTTCATCATCAGGCTCTACAGTTATATATACACATTATAGTGAATGAATGAATCAGTTAGTGTTATGAACAACATTAGTGCTGTTTAAATAACATCGAATCAATAATATGGATAGATTACAGCTGAATAGCATCAGCATAAAATAAGTTGAATGTCAGACAAGCAAATCAGGAAAGAAAATATTACAAATTCATGAATTTATAGTCTCTAATGAGGACTGGCCAGGGCAGTAGTAGGGACTGGACTTGCTTCTTTTGGACGCAGAGCACTGGTTGTTTCAGGCGAATTGCAATAGCCTCTGCAGTTTGGAGCATACGGTGCTTCGATGATTTTAGCAATTTATTAGGCACCCGGTAGATTAAAAAGAGAAGGATTCTTCCACACTGGCTGGCTGGCTGGCTTTGTAGCCGGCCGGTTTTCATCAGACGGTCCAGCGTTCACATACTGGCTCTGTGATATAACGGTAGGTTCTGTTATCCAACAAATTATACACTTTTAAGGTCACTGTTACGTTTACACTTCATGGTTTCTACTCTTTGGGTTCACCCCCAACCTTTCTTCTTCATGGGGTTTACTGCCTTCTAAGGAAGATCTGGAACACGTGAGGCAGCGGCGTGGTTTGGCGATCGAACTACCAATGAACCATTGACGCATAATTATTGATTTGCCATATTTTATGTGTGTGTGTGTGTGACAAAATTCATTCTTTTCAAATGTTATGTAATCAATCTTCTTTAATCTTTCTTTTTAAAATCTTTTATTCAGGTGCCAATTAGTTTAGTTCGACAAGACGGTGTTATCTACGCCAGTGGATTAACATTCACTTATCATCCAGAATCTGGACCGAGGCAACACTGTCAACCAGCTCTTGATATTATACGTGCAGCAAGTCTAGCAGCTGCAGCGGCTGTTGCTGCCTCATCGAACTCTTTGCCTACGCCAACAAAATCATCATTATTATTACCAGAACAGTGTTGTTCATCATCATCTAGATCAGGTTTATCCACATCGATTGATTGCAATACTGACAATACTACTAATAACACGAATAATAGTAGTAACATTGTTAATAATAATAGCAATATATCCCATCTACAACATATTGATGGTTATAATTTCCCACAAATCCATAAAGATTCAATGTGCCTTGATAACTCGTTTCTAGTTTCAGTAACTACCGCCTCCTCCTGCTCCACGTCTTCATCCTCGTGTTCATCCTCGTCATCCTCGTCATCTTCGTCAACATCACAAATGATAAATCGACTAATGAATAGTAATCCTAATCGTACTATTGGTTACTATGATGAGATATCGTCTAATCATCGACGATCACAACCGTTTCATCCACAACAACATTACTCCATACTACAAGACCCACAATCACAACAACATACAACAGGTATTGGCGGTGACTCTCAGGAACATCATATTTTACGAAATAGTAATCTCATGAACGCTACTCCTAATACTCCTACTACTAATACTAATAATACATCCTTAGGAAATAATACTACAACAGATTGCCCATTTTATATTCAAGTGAATACAAGTTGATGAGTTCCTTTGGTTTTTTTTTTTAAATTCCCAGACATACTCATACATATTACTACTACAGGGAACGATAAGTCTTTCTTTACACACCTCTCCATCTGCCTCTTTCCCCTCCACACGACACCACCATCCCGACTGCCACTGGCTGCTTCCACCCACCACTACCCTTGTTCTTTTAATGTTCAAAGCAGTATGTGTTGTAGACCAATTTTATTTCTTCCTGAATATTTTTCGTTGTAAAAATAAAGAGAGGAAACGGAACAGAGTGTATAATAAGATGTGAGTGTAACACCTACTACCTACGTGGTGCGGTGCAGCGTTACAGTCAATCTAAATTGTGTTTTTGCACAATATTACACAGCTTACTACTACTAGTACTACGACGACGACCCCATGACGATACTACTTTGAGCTGTTCTTCCTTCCACCTTATCCCTTGTTTCTTTTTTTTTTGTTATAAATATACCCCCTATCCCCCTAGACCTTCCCTACTCCCAGCCCCACCCCACCCCACCCCACCCCACCTAACAACAACAACAACAGTATACATATAAATATTGTCAAAGAGTAGAGACGTATTAACAAATTTGTTACCCCTTATTCTATACTCACTACTGACTTCTTTATTCCTTTTTGTGTAAGTAAATTATTTGAGACTTTCTACTTTATTTATATTATAGTGTGCGTGTGTGTGAGCGGGGTAAAGTTTATATAATGCACACACACAGTTAAGAGAAATTCGACAACAATAAAAGAATAATTGTACTGATCTCGTTTCTTTTCCGTTCACATTCTTTGCACTCCGAGTGACAGGTTTCAGTTGCAATGATGTGTTTTTTACGGCTGCTAGTTGTGCTAGTCTCATACAACCCCCCACCCTCACCCATCCCCGCACACGCTTCCGTTTCGACTAGACGAGGTTAAGCAGGGCGTCTGCCAGTGCGGGGAGTATCTTATTATTTATTTCAACTTTAACTACGGATTGATGTCGATTATAGAACCACTGAAAGCCCACCAGGGAGTGTTGGACCAAATGTTCTTCCTTCAAGCTTGGGAGTCATCAGTACGCACCTACCCAAGACCTTCAGGTTATTGGGAAGCCGTAGACCTTTCAGCCACTGGAACCTCCCCCAGACTCTTCAGTGGCCAGCATATAAATTCTAGCTTCTACAAATTCGTAATTTTAGTGCGACCACTGCTAGCCAATGTCAGTGGTGGGTGAGTATTTGTCCTCACACCCCGATCAGGTGGTGGACCCCATCGGTCACGACTTCTCACTCTAGAGGTCACTCCAGTCAACTTCTTCCTATTGTCACTAGTGACTAGTGAGTATATGAGATTAATTTTCGAGGGTTGGTTTGTTGAGATTCGATTTGTTTTCTTCAAAGTTTTGATCACGGACTGATATGTCGGTTAGAGAGAACCATTGGAAGCCACCAGGAAGTACTGGACAGCTGTTTCATCCTACTGGCTGCATGATCTCATGGAATATATGTTCTACATTGTATTCCTCTTGACTTGATAGAACCTAAATTGTGAAGTACTTGAGAGTTTGTCTGACCGGTTATCAGGACATATTCGCTAAAATATGTGAATGAAATTATGCTGGCTATTCCTAGCTCATTCTTGAAAGAGTTAACAGTTTTTGAAATAGAGAGGTTCTTAGCTCATGTGATCGCGTTCTGTGAGCTTGTTTAGTTCAATGGCGAGGCCTTCATATTGACGTTGGCAGTAAAAGCGTTGCATAGAAAGACAATGAAAGCCTCTCTCAGTTGGTTTATCCAACTCTGAGATAGTACCCACATCTGAGAAGGGCTTTTTTGTATTTGTCTTCAACTACTAAATATTTATAAGTAGTGTCAAATTTCATCAAAATAAATGGTGTTCTTCTGTTAACAACATCAGTACTCTTATTTGCGCTTGTAGTGAGCACACAGAGCATAATTATTTGTAACACTATAGAGGTCACAAGTTAAAAGTTCATATATATGTATATATTCGGTTATACGTATTCCTTGTACATCCTGAGAATTTTTTAAAGAAAACAGCTAATTTAATCCAATTTTAGATTTTCCCGTCGATTGATTGGACCGAAGTACTCACTCTCAGGTTGACATGTCGGCTTCTTGTGCAGATGCTTCGACGATGTCTGAGCGTCTAATCAGAGGTTAATTGTAGATGGTGACTAGCAGTGGAATCCACCAGGATAACACGCATTTCGTCCTATTTGGAACTCGTCAATCAGCTGGGTGTACCTGCATTCCCTAGTCAGTGAGTGATGATGTTCCCACTGAGGCTCGAATAATATGACCTGCAGCACTGAAGATGGCTGTCGTGATCCAAGTGATCTAGGGAAAAGTGCTTTAGCGTGTGAAACTATGGGCACTGGGTTCAAGCCTCGGTGGTGGGAAATGCAAGTACATCCAGCTGGCGGACGAGTCCCAAATAGGACAAAATGCGCGTTTTCCTGGATTTAATAATAATAATAATAATAATAATAATAGAGTAATGATAACAGTGGTTCTATCAGTAACAATGATGAAAAAGTCAGACTATCTGTGATAACATGAATAACGAAAAACAGCTTGACTAAACAAACAAATGTTCGGGTAAAAGTGTGTCGGTGTGATACAGACAATGGATTCAAACGGAATATTATTCTCACAGTTCAATAGTGCATTAGCAACAGAATACTATATGTATGTTTGAACATTCTATTTCATGTCGTTTAATGTAAATCAAAATCAAACGTTCAGTGATTGGTTGAGGAATATAAATGGTATGTATATAAACAGCGGTTCGATCAATTGAAAATATACCTTTGCTTCCGTGTCATGCCTCCGCTGTTACACAAGTAGTCAATAAGACCGATTAAATAATGCTTAATTGTAAGGGAAGTAAGTAAAATTAAATATGTTTTAGTGAGGATGTGATAAGATTAAAGGATGATAAGAGAGAGGGGTTCAAAATATAAGTAAGGGGTGGTGGAGAAATCATCAGTTGGTTAGGTCTTCACAGGTCACCAAAGGAGGGATAATGACTGTAGGGACTTCTTCTGAAGTCATAGTTTAGGCTTAATAGTTCAAATGTCTATCACCTCAGCTGTGTACAGTAGACGAATACGAAGTCTATTAGAAAGATTCGTTGGGATACGATGAGTTACTTTGAAGGCTCTCATTTTCTCGGCTACATGACCACTATAAACTAAATGTAACAAAATGGAGGTACGGATTGTTTTTGTCTGTCTTTGCCAAATCACAATAAGAGATGTTCAGTAACATGTTATTGGCTTAGCTGTCTAGTAGTACACCCAACATAACTCTAACCGTAGGAACAGTGGAATCGATAAATACGCATCGATGTAGCAGATTATCTAACTTGTCCTTCTTTTGAGTCCCAATCATTCGTCAGCTAGAGAGCAAAAAAACATAGGTTTGCTGCGTGAAAAGTTAGTCGTTTACTCCTGAAAGTCCCTGGAATAAAAGCTCACTTGACAAGTCACCATTACATTGTGACTTAACAACTAGAGGTAGTTTCGGTGCCATCATCGCCTCAGATTTTCTCTTCAATGTTTTCATATGATTTTTTTAAAATGAAACTAATCGGATAGCCTATCTCCGTCAAGGAATCATGAATATATTCCAATTCCTTTTGTAAGTGAGCATCTATTATGAGTCTAATATATTTGCTCAACACATTTCAAACAGTCTTACCATACACGCACTATTCATAGTGTGGTGAGAGCTGGCTGTTAGTCAAAATTGGTGGACAGTAATTTACGTCAATGTTTGTGTCCCAATATTGCGCGTGAGAAAAATGAGAACAAAGACTTTGCGTAGGCGGATACAGTTAACATATAAATGATCTGACATTCAAGAAACAGCCACAAATAGATGCAAGGTTAACTTTCCGTGAGAAACAACCAATTAGAGACTGTGTATTTCTGCTAACAATAAACTATAATAATGTACATGGAAATCTATAAATATGTGTTGATTTCGTAAATAAACGATCTGTTACCTGGCCTTGTCTTCTGTTGTTACAATAGAACTTAGTATAAAAATTAAAAAGTGTTAAGGGATTAGAGAATAGACGTTGTAGGTCAAGCTGAAACGTCATATTGAAGATAAAAAAGACGGTGAGGACTAATTCAACCAAAAAAAGAAGATTGGATCAATGCTGTATCAATTTTCGTATCAAAATAAAATTTACCAAAGAAGGTTTTATGTAATAACGACAAATTGTATTTGAACATACAGAGTTGGTGTAAAGGAACGTGAACATTGAACGTTGATTCGTTGGCCTTGGTAACCATTGGCGGGCAATTCGAAGCCGCGAATGGTTCAATCGTGTACAAGTTGGAAGAAGACAAAAGAATACTAATAAAAGTAGAATACATTATTTGTAAAACATTTATTTAAATACTCTGTATGGTGACTCTAAAGAATAGCGGCCCAAAGCGAAACGACCTTCGAACAAAAAAGTGACCTTGAGCAAGGAATCAGCTGACTGTATCATTTGAGGAAGTAATCATGGATGTTTTCGATTACTGTTTGGATAACGGACTGATAGCTTTGTCGAAAATTTGCCAATGCGGAGGAGTTATGCATAAACAAATATACACAGAGGCCATTGATGGCTTTGTATACAGATGTATTGAGTGCCGAAGGAGGAAATCGGTTCGAGAAGGTTTGTCGTTGTTTTTTAGTTTACAGATCCCTTAGGAACTTTTCTCTCAAGGTCTAAACTACCTTTGGCGAAAATTTCAATGATATGTAACTTCTGGGTCCTGAAAAGAGCAGTCACAGCTACAGCTTATGAAACAGAAAATTCAGAGGTGTCAGCAGTGCAATGGTAAAACTACTGAAGAGATGTTTCCTCCTGGAAAATGAACACCCTGACTCAAGTTCTCGGAGGAGTCGGCAGCATAGTCCATATTGATGAGACTGTACTTATAAAAAGGAAATACAACCGCGGGAGATTACAAGCAAACCAGCAGTGGATACTAGGTATCTACGACACGACACTGCGCAAAGTATATATAGAAGCGATTCCCAATCGCAGTGCAGCAGTATTAGTGCCTATTAATAAGCGTTTGGTGTTGCCGGGGACGACTATTCATACAGATGAATGGAGCGGATACCGTCAATTATCGAATCATGGGTACATTCATCATGTTGTTAATCATACGGACGGTTTCCGGAATCCTTTGGATGGAACCCACACCAGTTTCATTGAAAGTTTCTGGAGTCGTCTAAAAAGACGTATAAGAGCGGTTAATGGATCGACAAATCCCATGATTTACAGTTACCTGGGTGAATTTATTTACCGAAACTGGTTTCAAATGACTATGAAGACTCCCATGAGAAACTGGGAGGTTTTTTTGCAACATATACGCGAACGCCATCCTTTGTAACTGTTTATTATGATTGCATTACTTTTATATAAACTGTTTTTTACAATTATGCGCCTTTCTTTTTGAGCCTTCTCATTGGCCGAAGTTGTCCCTGTCAAGGTCATTTTTGCGTTAAAAGGTCGTTTCGGTTTGGGCCGCTATTGTTTAGAGTCACCCTCTGTATGATGCATCGAATTTAACTGCTGAAGAATATATTTTCTTTTTACATGTCTTTGTGTTTTGGAGTTAAAGTCAATAATCATACTTAGTAGCTGTTGATTCGGAGCGTCTTCGCAAATAATAGGAATAGTAGTTCCTTGACAGGTGGTTTAAACTTCTCAATCTCTAAGGCTTCCACAGATCTTAGGATTGAAAGGTTTGAAAAGCGTAAATACAATATATTTTGCAATGGAAGAGCTTCGTCGTCTATTTTCGTAATCAATAGGTTAAGGAGATT